GACACGGTATGTGATGCTGTGACGCCGTGCACGCGACACGGTATGTGATGCTGTGACGCCGTGCACGCGACACGGTATGTGATGCTGTGACGCCGTGCACGCGACACGGTATGTGATGCTGTGACACTGTATGTGACACGGTATGTGATGCTGTGATGCTGCGTATGTGAAGTGCTTATGTGTAATCTTAGTGAATAAAAATACAAATGTCTGCTATCAAAAAAGAAAATTAAAACACCGTAACAAAACTAAGACCAAAATCCCATAATGAAGATCTTCAGAAATAATAGAGGATTGCTGGGGAGCTCCCTCGGCACTCTAAAAGCACCTGCCTTGCAAGCGCAAGGACCCGGGTTTGATCCCCAGTACCCCATGCCATGGAGGCCCTGGAAGCCAGACACCTGTAATCCCAGCACTGGGGAGGCTAAGATAGGGGGATCACTATTGAGTCTGAGCTGCGTAATAAGACCCTATACCAAACAAATAAAAAAATAAAAGATTAAAAATAAAGAAATAAAACAGAAAAAGCATGAATGAAAGGATGAGGCTATAGTCTTTAATATTTAGAGAAGACTGCTTAGGCAGGCGCAGGGACCAGGCTTCGATCCCCCACATGCTGTGCCATGCCTGCCCCACCCTCAGGGTGCGCTGAGACAGTGACTGAGACTAGGCAGGGTGGTGCACCTATAATCCCAGTGCTTGGGAGGCTGAAAACAGGAGAATCACTACGAGTCTGATCTATGTAGTGAGATCCTGTAGACCCTGTACTAAATACATTATAAAAAAACAATTCAGAGAAGAGCTGAAAAATTTTATATATTTTAGGAGAAATAAAAATTTCAACTGAAAAGTTGAAGCACAAGGAAAATGAGAAAGGAGGAGGAAATAAGAGGATGAGTCCAGAAAATTCAACGTCCTGAGTAACAGAAGCTCCAAGAAGAGCACTTGAAATACTTTGTGTAGAAAGAAATTATCAAAAAAGTACTAAGAGGGCTGGTGAGATGGCTCAGTGGTCTAAAGCACCTGCTTAGAACAAGCTTAGCAAAGCACAGGGACCTCGGTTCAATCCCCCAGCACCACATGCCAGCCAGCCCCGCCCCCTGGTGGGCTGAGCTGGCCACACACACACACACACACACACACAAATAAAATAAATAATTTTTTTAAAAAAGTACTAAGAAATGTTCCATAAGTGAAGTTCATAAGCTGACAGACTAAAAGAACTCATTTTAGTGTTTAGCTTATAAAATGAAAAACTCTGCCTCAAAATATATTAAATAAAGATAAACAAGGAGAGAAAGTTTCCCCCCAAAATAGGTCCTATCTAAAGGGTTGGCATGGGATTACCAACAGAAACCAGAAGCTAGAAGTTAAAGGAGAAATGCCTATAAAAACCTGAGGGGGTATTATTTTGAACCTAGAATTCTGTACCCAACAAAACAATATGTTAGCAGCATAAAGGGAAAATAAAGGCCTTTAAAGACATGAAGATTCCAAATAAATGCTATCGCTGATGTACTTTCTCAGGAAATAACTGAAGTTCCACCAATGTGGGCAGAAAAATGACAAAAGTGGAAAACACAGGGAAAGAGAAACCACAGACCCACTGGCAACGAGAACGGTCAAGAGCACCGTGAGTGGTACTGGGCCAGGAAGGCAGAGGGCCACAGAGAAAGGTCTCAGAGGAAAAAGGAATCGAAGTACTAGAAAACCTCTTGTGTTCAAGTGGATTAAGAGGAGATTGTCAGTTCTGTCTGACCTGGGATTGAATAAGTTATAAGTACGAAGTTAAGCACATAAAGAGACAAGAAAGGAAATGTTACTATAGAAGGGCTCAGGTGTGAACAGTAGTTATAAAGTTCCATTGACAAAAACACTGAATCTGATTTAACTCGAGATTACACAGGAAAAACAAAGTGAGTGGGGAATGGATGAGTTACCGCAGAAAGCCGATAAATAATCTGTAATTTTTAAAAAAGTAACAGCTGTAAAAATACATTGGTTTAATAAATGGCTACTTGAAAGAATGAGGCCAAAAAGATTGATGTCGGGCAACTGATGACGTACACAGAACATCTTGACAGATTTCAACAAAAATTTAAAACAAATTTTAAGAAAAGGGGGTTGGAGAAGAGAGGAAGGAGAGATGGACAATTCATGCAGAGAAACTCAGGGAAGTCCTCAGATGCCCAATAGACTCCTAAAAACACCAGCGACTGACAGATGAACTAAAACTGGAGAAAAAGAAATTTGGAAAAGAGCTTTGCAACATTAAATACTGAGAATGAATGTAAAAACTGCTGACCTTTGTTTTGTTTTCCAGGGCAAGCCCAGGCGTGTCTGTGTCCGGTGGGTACGCCACTGTGATGTAGACGTTGTACGGCTTCACCTGCATTAGGGACACAAGGTTTATCCTTTCAGTTTGGGAGGCACAACTGTGTGTCTCCCCACCAACCTGCCTCAGCTGCCCTGATTCTCAGAAGGTGGTGAGGCCAACAGGATGATTCTGCATGTGGGGAACAACCACTAACTGCACAGGAAATTCCTCCTCCCAGAGATGATTTAGAAAAGAAGGCAAAAGGCCTCTCCTGACCTCCATGCCACAGAACAACTGACCTGCTGGTCAGGCAGGGGCCCCTAGAGTTGTTCACTGAGGACGGCAGTCTCTTCACCCTCTCAGACTCTGCATACCATCCAAGTGCTCTTATGAGGTAAGGTGACAGGCCTACTCCTTATCTACCAGACTGCACAAATGTTTTACTCTGCAGGCTGCTTCAGATATTCTTGTTTTAATAATTTCATCTATCAACTACGTTATGGTTCTTTATGGCCCTTTCAGGCCCACATCTAGAACTACATTCATTCCTAGAGAAGTCTTACTCAAGAGTTCTGCACAGCCCTGCCCATCAGGACATAAGGAGCCACTTCCTCCTCCTCACAGCACTGGCCAAAAACATTCTTACCTGGGTGGAACACCCAAGTCAGACCAGCAACTCTTCTGCTGACAACTACCATCACTATTTACATATTATAGAAGCTCCTCCCTTGCTTTTTCAAAACAGTTTCTCCTTCTATCTACTCTGAATCTCCATCTTGCTCCTCTGACACCTGTTGAGCTTGACCCTGTGCCTTCACATTCAACTCCCTCCATCACAGACACATTGCCAATAACCTAGTGGACGCTTCTACAGGTCAGCCACAACATACTCTCCTCAAAAACCACTTGGAAGCAGTCCTACAGAATGCCCTCATCTTGCCCCCACAATTATCAACTTCCAAGGCAACAGTTCACTCCTTCCAAATCTGTATGCCATGGTTTTTACTTCCTACTGGCTCACTTTGAAGCCCATGAAGACATCTAGGAGATCTGGAAGTGAAGGCAGTTAGCTGTACAGTCCAACTACTGAAAATCTTGAGGGTAAATTCATGTTGAACTGAAAACTGACAACGCACAATACAACAGCTTGGAGTTTCTCAGGGATTCGCCTTATCATCAGCCCCTTTTCTCCCAAGTTCCCTCAGTGAAGCACAGTTCCAAAGTCATATGGGAGAGTTGCAAGGGTCAGGAGAAAGAAGCAAAAGGTCCTGCCCAGTCACCCTGGGAAATGCAACAGAAAAAGGGGAATGCCACTGTTGGTCTTGTTCCAATACAGCCTGGGCCTCAGAGAGCTCTTCATTCAGCGCTGGCAGGGCATGCAGCCTCCCAGTGCAGCTATGCTCATAAATGGCTGTGAACAGGGCCAGCAGGGGAGCCTGATGAGCAAGCAATTTCCCCTCCACTTGTTTCTGAGACGAGACTTTAAAAAATGAGTTTCCCACGGCCTTGCCCTCCAGGGCACATGGACCAAAGAAAAACAGCACAAAAAGCCAGCAAGTGGCAATTCAACAGTCCATACAGAGTGATACTGGATGCTCCGCTAGAGTCATTTCTATGTCTGTGTCCCTTCCCCACAAGTGGAGAGGGTCATGGTATCTAAGCCAGTGTATGTGTATGCTTCAAATCAGTGTTTCTCAAAGTCAAAGCTATGGCTCAACAGCCAATGATTAAAACACAGCTTTTCAGAACACTTTTTCCAAGGGTAGAACCAAAGATTGCTGGGGGTGAGGGAAACAGTCCAATCCATGCCAGGCTACTATCCTCTTTACAATCACCATGCCAAGAGACTCTCAAGCTTCCAATGTGTAGTAACATCACTTACACAGACTTTTTAAGTTCAGTTATCGAATAATGCCTAGTGACTAAACTATCAGGTGCCAATGTTGTTCTAAGAACGCCAGATATGGGTATGAACAAAACAAATATAATCTCCATCTTCACAGAACTTCTGTTCTAAAACCCTTGGTCACATAGTTTGCTAAAATCTGAATAGACTAAAATATATTTATACCTTCTTTTAACTATTAATCTCATAGTCCTATCAAAAAAAGGAGAGGAAGGTAGTTTGGATTTACTTGTTCCTGGTACCACCTGACATCACTGCTTTTCTAAGAAGGTGTAGGCCAAGTCTTTGCTAAGCAATGCCCTGCTTAGCAGGCCAATTACCTGCAGCTCCTGGCTCTGCTCACTGGCCATTCTCTGTCCTCCCGCTCTAGCCCACGTCTCTCCTAGCCTCATTCTCATGATGCTTCCCACCTGTCATCAACTTCAAACAGAAATACAACTAATCACTCATTTAAAACCAATTTATTCTCAGCATTACCCAACTAAGATGTGCTGTTCCTCATTCAGTTCAAACAAAGACACAGGAGATGGAAAGAATACTAGCATGAGACTTCAAAAGTTAACTTTCAGTTTATTTTCTGACCCTGGTGGGAAGTGACAGGGAGAGGGGCAGAGCTTCAGTGGAATGACAGGCAAAATAAAGAAAATAGCTGCCTCCCCCACTTCCCCAGTCTCTGATCCATCTTTGGCTATAACCCAGCTTAGAAGAATTTTAAAATATTTTAATGTTACATTTATATTAACCACCCCGACATGCCACAAAGCATTCTTTCAAAATTACTCACTGCATCCATAAAATTTCCAGGATCCTATCTTAGTTTGAGGGTAAACTAATGCCCTCAGGAAAAAGGAAGGCTTGAAAAATTATTAAACCAAGATTATCCTAAGTACGTGCCAGTGTGATGGCGCACACTGTAAGTCCAAGGTTGAGACAGGAGAACAGCAAATTTCAATCCTGCCTGGGTAACTTAATGAGAATCTGTCTCGAAATAAGAAATAAAAAGATGTAGCCCAGCGCAAAGGCCTGAATTCAATCTGCAGTACAGGAGTAGGGGGTAGGAGTGGGTGAGTAGTTTAAAAAAGATGGCTTGAGATGAAAAATTTAATTTTGAGCAATTATACTGGTTTCATTCATTGCACTGACTATATTATCCACGTTTCAGCAGCATTTGACTATCGATTTGTAGTTTCATGTAAGTTCTACTACCAACAAATGAGATTTTCAAGACTAAAATTATTTTCCCAAATAAAATAGCCTAGTTTTTTCATAGCATATATTTATTCTATTTAAATAATGAGACTTCTAATAGAGTCTGACAAAGTCTGACAAAAGTCACACAGATCTGAGATTCCAGACCAGCTATCCAGACCAGGTGAATCACCCTTGTCCTGCAAGCTGAGGGGACGCAGTACTAACAACTCCTTTTCTTTCCCTTCCTCTGGATTAGCATCTACAGTCTACCCTAAATGAAACCAGGTCACCCTATTTTACACTGTTTGCTACATTAATGAGCCATGATGGAGCTCTGCAAAGCAAAGCAAAGACTCAGGGAGAAGCTGCAATGAACAGACCTTTTCATATCTTTTCATCTCCAAAACACCCCTTTCACCTATATGGATACAAGATCTGAGCCAAGGGCTGACGCAGGCGGCTAGTGAGTAAGGCAACTTCTGAGCTGAGTTACAGACAAATCCTCTGCTGCAAAACTACAACTTGCAGTAAAGGCCTGGAGTCAAAGGCTTGCGCCCCATAATTCCATCTTTAAGTAACTGTAAGACTCTGACCAAGTCAGTTTTTGTCCCATCTGACAATAAACTGACAGAAGCCTCACATATTTCATAAGAGTATGATAATATACTTCTCACAAAGGGACTTTTCAAAGTAACAACTGTAAACACAATAACCAAAAAATTGAAATCGCTCTTTGAAATTTCACACTTACAAGGGCCCTAGTGGCTAAGTACATTAAATGCTTTATTATTAAGCATACATATAAGCATATATAAAGCTTTATTATTAAAAGCACTAGCTGGGCCTGGTGGCACACAGCTGTAACCTCAGCACTCAGGAGACTGAGGCAGGAGGATTGCCTCAAGGTCAAGGCCAGCCTGGACTAAAAGTGAGTTCAAGGCCAGCCTGACCTATATAAAGGTCTCAAAGCGAAAGTGTTAAGCCAGGTGCTAACAATGAACTCCAGGACTGCTTCCTTTGGTAGGAGAACAGCACAGTTTGTCAATTTTTAAGTGGACCATTAGGACACAGTCACTGCCCCAGAACTCACTGAACACCTAGGCAGTGAAAGGCTCTGTCACACACCACCAAGATCTCTTCTGGGATCTTTTATTAACACAGGTCTGCGAACTATAGCCTGTGAGCCAAATCTGGCTCTCCGCCTGCTTTCATAAATAAAGTTTTATTGGGACAGTCACACCTGTTTATTTATGTATAATCTACCATGACTGCTTTTCTACTACCACAACAGACTTCACAGCCATTATCTGGCCCTCAAAAAGTTAAAATATTACCACCATTTGTCAAAAAAAAAAAAAAAAAAAAAAAAAATTGCTTTCATTTGTCAACCCCTGATTTAAACTATTAACCAATATATACATATACACACACACACACACACACAAGAGGGCTACCCACAACAAATTCTCTTCTGGACTTTTAACATCATGGTGTAGTATTACATTTCAAGGTACACTGTAATAGAATGAATTTTACTCTGCCTTGTTCAGCATGCAATTATGGACATATACATAATACGAAGCATTTCCATGTGACAACATGCAGAAGTCTACTTCACAGCTGAGATGTGAGAATGTTCACAGCATCACATTTATTTTCAAGATAATCCTTACTATATCCTCCTTCCCTGAGATGTAGTACTTACCTTTAAGTACTCACTTTCTTAAACATTTCTTTAAAACACAAGAACCCAAGTACTAAGAGAGCCCAATAATGCTTTTATTCTAGCTCGCTCACTGTACAATGAGGGAACTGAGAACAAGTTAAATGACTTGTCTAAGGACTAAAATATCCCTTTCCAGCTCTTGTTTATTGTTTTTTAGCTTTTCTTTTAAATATTTAGTAATTGTATTATTCAGTTATAAGGGCAGGTCCCTTTGTTAAAAGAAGATTACAGAATAAAGCACCTAGTTAACCTTACACACACTCAGTATTACATCAACAACATCATGAAGATATAACCAGCACTTTACGTATTAATTTGGCAAACCCCACACCCGTGCTCTTTTTGTCATAAATATAATTCTCATGCAGTAGGAACTATGAAATACAAAATTTGGGCTCAGCCAATTCTCTTTCACTAATGTCAAATCTATGCATCTACTTTAATGCAATAATGTATGAAGAAGTTAGAAAAATAACATACTGCTGAGTTAAATGGAAAACACACAAACATGAATACAATTTTTACCTCCATCTGCAAAGCTTCTGCCAACCCCCTTATGGCAAACTTTGATGGAGAGTAGGCCGTGTATCCAAATAATCCCAACTGTCCTGCCTGGGAGGACACAAACACAATCCTGCCCACCCGGCGCTCCATCATGGTGGTGATTACTGCTCGGCTGGGATACACGCTGCCCAGGTAATTGATGTTCATTAACTTCTGCAGAAAACAAGGAAACCACATGAGGTTGGAACAAGGTCAAAAGCTTAAGGGCTCAATTAATGAGAATTCCGTCTGTCTTTCAAATTTAAGTTCTTTGATGGAAGTCCCACTGATTTACTCAACAGATTTGTTGAATGAATGAAGAGGAAATCATGCCACACACAATAAAGCATGATGCTCAAAAACCTACCACTTGAAACCTATTTCAATCGAGTCTTGCACTCTCACTATGATAGCAGTAATATCTGCGCTGAAAACTAGTCAAAATTAGTTTTCTCCCTATAAAAAGAGTACTGTGTGTTGCCAGTTATCCTTTCAAAAGACAGTTTTAGGAAAAAACTTACAAAATATTTCCAGCCCCGTGGTTCTAAGCTTTGGCTCTGCCGTGTACTACCTAATGGATGATGAATCAGAAAGTCTTTTTCAGCTGAAAACAAGTTTAATTTTGGAATGACCACATGGTATTACTGCAGAGAGCAAAACAGAAAGACAACGTAAGCGCTAGCATCCCACAGGAAGTGCTCAGTACATTCGGGTCTTATACTTTGGTGCCTTGGTTGATGAACTGATGTTGCTCCATGATTTTGGAAAAGATGGTCATTGTCTGTTTCTGTCACCCAATGCAGTTTGCAAACAAAAAAAATCTTTGCCAAAACTTTTGTTTGTGAAGCAAATTATTCACAAACAAAAGTGTATATGAACAAAGGTACTACTGTATTATTGTAAGAGCTTTAAAAAGTACTAATAATGTATGTTTTCCTCAACCTAACAACTCGTAAAACATTAAAATCTTAAAGTTTTTTAACTTGAGAATGCCTGCATTTAAATGTTTCTACGTTAAAAGTCTTATAAAAATATTAGCTCTATCATAATGTAAAACTCACCACTCCAATTGGGGATCTAAGTCAGTTATGCTAAGTTAAATTCACATAAAATAACTTTTGAAAATGATGACCAAGAATACCAGGAGTAACACAGAAAAATCTTACATTTTTCAAAAGTAGATGGCAAGTGATATTTAGACTATAAGTACAACTATTTTAACTATTAAATAAAGGGTCACATGTACAAGCACAGAACTCAATAAACAGAGAAAAGCTCAGTAAAGAAGTTTTGAAAGGGACAAAAACAGAAGGAAAAAGAAAATCAAAATCAAAACAATAGCAACACCATTCTCTAACTTGAAAGACAGAATAACATGTGCTAGCTAGCTTGGTAGAACATAGAAAACTGAATGCTAAGTGAGAACAGAGCATCTAAAGAGAAAAATTACAACACAGACCTCCACAAAAGGTTCAAACAGCACCAAGCACCTCTAGAATGGGGTAGAGGTGGGAGGCACAGGGCTGAAAGACAGGAGGTTGCACCAAAGGTCTGTGTACAAGGCAGTCAGGTAGACAACCTAATGTCCATCTATGAAGAACAGAAAACACAATGTGGCATTATCCACACAGAGTGGTACCAACCAATGAAAATGAATGGTTCTGATCCCTGATATAAAGGAATGAACAATAAAAACTTTATGCTAAATAAGAGAAGCCACAGGAAAGGGCATATATCAGATGATGCTACTTATAAATAATATCCAAAGATTTGGGATACAGAACAGTGGTGTTCAGGGCCTAGAACAGCAGTCCAAGACAGAATAGGGAGCAACTGTTTAATAAGCATAGACTTCCCTTCTGGAGTGATGAAAATGCTTTGGAATTGGATAGAAGTGGTAACTGCACAACACTGTCAATGTGCAACTGTTCCCTTTAAAATGTCCAGTTCAGGGCCGGCCAGATAGCTCAGTGGACTAAGCACCTGCTTACGCAGCCTGAGGGACCAGGTTCGAGCCCCGGTGTGCCATGCCAGCTCTGCTCCCAGAGCATGCTGAGATGGCGACTGAGACTGGGCATGATGGCACGTCCCTGTAATCCCAGCACTTTGGAGGCTGAAAACAGGAGGATCACTATGAGTCCAATCTGTGTAGTGAGATCCTGTATTAAATACATAAAATAAATAAAAATAAAATAGCCAGTTCTTCTGGGTGTGATGACTCGTGCTTATAATCCCAGCAGTCAGGATGCTCCTGAAGGAGGTCTACCAGCTTGGACAACTTAGTGAGACTTTGTCTCAAACAATAAACAAACAAACAAAAAGTCTATGAACATATAAATAAAAATAAAATGCTAATTTTGTACAAATTTTAACTTACTTTTAAAAAACTGATGTAGAACAATAACCAAAAACAAAACAAAATACCACCAAAGCAGTCATTTTCTAAAGGTCTTTCCCTTCTCTACAAAGTAGATATGGATCCCTCTCCAGTATGGCAAAAGTCTTGGCTGAAGAAGGATTAGTCTAGACAAAGCTAAGGCTTAATAAAAACTGTGTAGACATTAAACGTGGAGATTTCAACTTTCCTGGCCAATTTCACTCTTCTGACACTGCTGTCAGACACACATTTTCTAGGAAGAAGGCAAAGACCCCTCTCCAAGTCTTCTGATCAACGTAAGAGAAAAGACCTACAGACACTGACACTGAGACTCTCCCCAAGAAGTGTCCCAAACTGTCACCCACGGAGAACCCATAACCAAACAGTGCTACCCACTACAAGGAATGCCCACAGCTCTTCAGTGACTCACTCTTGAAGGACAAGGATAAGCATGGCTTGCCACACACCCAAGCGAAGCCTCCAAGCAAAACGCAGAAGCACCAGCCTCAAAAGCTGACAAGGAGAGACAATGAGAGGACAGAGGAAAACTTGAGTAACTCTCAATACCTACAGGCTGCTGAAGGACACAGCAAAGAAACCAGGTGAACCACTCAGAAAGGAAAATTAAGAGATGTAAGCTCAAATTCCCCAGGCTTAGAGATTCACTAGGTCTCAAAGTCCTCAGTATAAACCCTCGGGCATGACTAAGATTTATTAGAGCAAAGATATGAACAGAAATCAGCAAAGAGAAAAGATAACATGCAGCAGAGTCCGGAAACAGCCAGGTGTAAGTTTCCAGGATCCATTTTCCAGTGGAAGTCCATGGGGCCTGCCTAACTCCTCCAGCAATGAGCTGGAACAACACAAGCTTCACATTTTTCCTTGTCATCAATGCCTATGAACAGGCACCTGATATTATACACTTAAGTTTCTTCTATTTTTCTTTACAATACACACCTCCACCAAGAATTCATGCATTGCCTTGGAACTACCACAAGACATATGGCATAACACAATCAATCCTCACTCCTGCTGCGGTAGGCCAACACACCCCACTTTCTGGGGTTCCAGCTTTTGAACCTTGCATTTATTTATCTCAACCATGCAAACTATTCATTCTTCAAAACTACTCTTTGCTCCCTGTTCAGTCAAGTTGAACCTACAGATTCTCAGCCCATGTCTCACACATGCACCCACATACAAATACTTTACAACACACACACACACACACACACACACACACACACATGCACACCTACTCCTCTATCAATACATCCCAAACCTTCTGTTTTATCACGTCATGCATAGACTTGCACAACTATTTCCCCCAACTGATTCTTTACACAGCTGTTGATACAGTCTTCCAATCTCCATTCCATTCCTTCCAGAGGAAGGTATACAAGTCTAGACAGTCTATCATGCTGAGTCGATGAAGAAGCCTTAGACACAGTCCACCATTCTCCTTCTATCTGTACTTGGCTCTCCTGCTCCCCTTGAGTAAATCCCAGAGTTTATCATGCTTTCCCATGGCTCAACAGAAGCAAGACAGCTGTCATGCTGGTTCAGGGTTTATTGTGCTATAAAAGGAGAACATGATTCAAATTAAGAATCAAGGGGGCCTGGCCCTAGCTCAGGCCTTTAAGTGGCTGCTTCCACAAAGCTGTCAGCCTCAGGTTGCTGGAGTTCGAACCTCACACCTCTCCCGCTGGCCAAAAGTGCCCTGAAGGCATTCGAGGAACAAAAAAAAAGAATCAAGCATTCAAAACCCATTACCTTTCTAAAGGCCTAATAGAACAGTAACAGATGGATGGGTTGATGCACTGCCAACTGTAAAATATTTTGCACTTAAAAGAGATTGCCGGTCTAATGGCCACTTCTTTGGTGTTGAAGTAAATTACATAGAGATTCATTCCTCGGCAAAAATGTTTAAAATATAAATAAGGTACATCATCATCTTCTGATTAAGAATTCTAGCAAGGATGTTTTTCAACTTTTTTGCTCTCTCACTGTTGGTAATGTTGATCTGCTCCATGCCTATAAACTCAGCTACTCAGCAAGCTGAGGCAGAACACTGCAAATTTAAGACCAGCCTTGACAATTTTATGGGATCCTGGCTCAAAATGAATTTTTTTAAATGGCTGGGGATTTAGTTCAGTAGTAGAGGACTTGCCTAGAATGCATGATTAAAAAAATAATAGGGCTAGGGAGATAGCTCAGTAGAATAAGTATTTGCCTGGCAAGCACAAGGGCCTGAGTTCAATACCCAGTTCCGCAAACAAACAAAAATAATGATAATAAATAATAATAGTAATAATTTTTAAAAAGTAATAGAAATACTGATACTTGACACGAACATCCAACCTCTCTTGGATTACAAAGTGCTGTCTTAAAGAGGGGGCCTTGGCGAATCGCTGTAGTAATCTGTACCACATTAATTGTTTTGTTTTTCACTTCATTTCATGCTTATGTGCTTAAGGTTGGGTGGTTGTGTCCCTGGGGACAGATTCATCACCCTTCCTCTTGTCTTCTCAAGCTTCTGTGAACACTCAAATGCACTCATCTATCCCACTCTTAACACCTTTACTCAAAACTTATTCTACTTTTCATATATGGGCTATCCCAGCAAGCCAACATTTTTACTTACTTCAAAAGTACTAACTTCAAGATCTTCAAATTTTCCTGCCAGTGCCAACCCTGCACAATTGACGAGCATATCCACTGGACCCAGTTTCTCCTGTGCCTAGAAAAATGGAGCAGAGCAGGTAACAGAAAAATAATTGAGCAATAAAGTCAGGTTGATAAATAAAACCTACAAACCACAAAACCTATACAGACAATGGCTTAATTCTAAGCCACATGACAAAATATGAGCAAATCAAGTAACTAAATCCAATCCACCCAATTTCTTACTTGTTTTATGACATTCTCTACTTGATTATAATCTTCAGATACATCAACTGAGATACAAAGCACTACCTGTTAAAAAGAAAAAAAAAAAATCTGAGGTACGCATATGTTGAAACTATGTTTTAAAGATTTTGTAAAAATTAAAAGTAATTCTTTCCACTATAGAAGGCCATTTTGTTTTCCTCCATACTAAAAATAAAACCCAGAGGCTCTACCCCTGACTTATTTCCTCAGCCCTTCTTTTTTATTGCCCAGGCTGGCCTAGACCTTTTGATCTTCCTGTCTCAGCCTCCCTAAATGCTAGGATTGATTACAGGCATATATTCAGCAAAATTTTGAATGCATAAATTGCAGTGTTTGAAAATTGCTCACAGTGCACTTGATATGAGGCGCATCCACAATAAACAACACACACTGTGAGAGGTTGAGTGAACAGCAGTGTGGGGCAGGTGCTAGGAAGAGCAGGCTAGTATTTGGGAAGCCTGAGGCTATGACTGGGATAGGTCTCTCCCAAAAGTCCATGTACTAAAAGCTTGGTTCCTGGCCTGGTAGAACCTTTAGTAGGTAGGGCTGGTGGAAGGAAGTGGCTCTTCTGAGAATGTGCTCCTGAAAACAGTAGCAGGTTCCAGCCCTTCCTGCCTCTCCCTTGCTTCTCAGTCACCATGAGAGAGCAGCTTTGCTCCCCCATGTGTTCCTCATTCTGATGCGCCACCTCAACACAAGCCCAAAAGCAATAGGGCAAAAGGGCCATGGACTAGACTCTCCCAAACCATGAGCCCCCTTGCAAGTTGGTACTCCAGGTATTCTGTCACAGTGATAGAAAGGCATTATCAGATCTGGGTCACAAGCTATCTCCTTATTCGCTAGCTCAGGTTCATGACAGCTACCCCAGCCCTGGTTATCAACCTGTTCTTGCTGCACAGACCACAGCACTGTCCATGTGACCTAAACCGTTGGATCCATGAATTAGAATCCATGGATTCCCACCTCATGAAGAGAGGTGGGAATCATCATGCAGCCCTGAGCAGGGACAATCCTGGCTTTCAGCCACAAACACTCAGGCTCCACAATTTTTTACCATTTTTTTTTCCTTCTATCACAAATTGCAATAATATGGGTAAAATGCAGTGATCTGCAGAGCTGGGGTTCTTCTGGGCAGAAACATAGGCCACAGTCTAAAGAAACTCACATATGTGTGCAAGGGGATGTGGACAAAGAATTTTACTTACAGCACAGACTGCAGAAGCGAAAAAAAAAAAAAAAAAAGGTGAGAGGAGCATCTCAATAGAAAACTGATTAAGCAGACTATGGAGTAAATGAGACAGATTTTTGTTTTTTTTTTTACAGACATGGAAAGATCTCTAATATACCTGCGGGAGGCAAATATTTAAAACCTGCCAGAAAGGCAAAAATTAAAAGTCTGCTAACAAAATGTTGACAAGGATGTGGAGCAACATTAGCTACCATCACTCCAGAGAGTGTAACACAGGGCTCATGAGCTTCAAAACATCCATGCACACCACAACTTGGCAATTCCATTTCTAGGTAAGCAACACATGCATACTTGTGCACAGAGACATGGTAAAATAGTTCTGCCAAGTAAAACCTAAAACTAACAACAGCAGCAATAAAAACCCTGGCTGCAACTTAAATATCCACCAAGGGTAGACCTGATGACAAAAGGTAGTTTAGACCTAAAACTCAATTCCATATAAGAGAAAGTTAAGTCAACTCTTTCCTACTTTATGGAGTTACACAGATGGATTTTTAACATAATATCAAAGAAAGAAAGAAAGTTGCACAAGCAAATATGAAGAATGATGGTGGATAAAACTATCCAGATAGAGCTAGAGTAGTGCTGCCTAAGGCTGGAAGGGGCTCCAACACGAATGGGAAGTGGCCGCTAAGGGAGTCAGAGATTATGTTGTGACAGAGACAAGTGGCCGCTAAGGGAGTCAGAGATTATGTTGTGACAGAGACAATCTAAAATTAACTGTAGTGCTAGGTCCCTAACTTTGTGACTATGGGTTGCATACTTTAAATAGAGCAGTTGCTCTGGGCATGACAGTGTACACCTGCACACCCTGCTAGGGAGGCTGAAGCAGGGCACTGTATGTGCACATGCAGACTGAGCAGATTAGTCAGACTGTCTCAAAATAAACTAAAAGGGCTGGGGAGACAGCTGACCAATACAATACTTCCCAACATGCAGGAGGCTGAGAGTTCAATCCCCAGAACAGAAAGAAAAAACAAATAAATGAACACAAGCAACACAAAAGAAAGAAGGAAAGAGACAGACAGACAGATGGAGCTCAACTGCATGATATGAATTATATCTCAAAAAAGCTGATTGTAAAAGAATAATTGGCCAGGGAGATGGCTCAGTGGAATAAGTGCTTCCCTGGCAAACGCAAGGGCCTGAGTTCAATCCCCAGTTCCATCAAATAAATAAATAAATAAGAATAATTGGCATCAAATTAAAAAAAGAAACAACTGGAAAATCACTATTTAGAGTTGCTCATAATTTACCATAGATAGTAAAATTTTTAAAAAGAGAAAAAAAGGATTCAGTTAAAAAAATCTGGTCAGGGTGGTACCTAGGAATGTGAGGCTAGTGTGGAACAGCTTCAGAAACTTCACAGATCCTGGCAAACTCAATTTTTTATTGGGGGGTTAAATTTTATACTATGTTATATTTAATCCAATATATCAAAATACTCTCATTTTAACATGTGTTCAACATAAAACATATATATATATATACTTTTTTTTTGGTACAGGGTCTCACTACGCAGCTTGGACTCACAGTGATCCTCCTGTTTTCAGCCTCCCCAGTGCTGGGATTATAGGCATGTACCACCAAGCCTGGTTGGTGGCTGGCTCAGTGTGCCCAGGGGCAGGGCCAGCACAGCATGTGGTGCTAGGGATCGAACCCTGGTCCCTGCACTTGCCTAAGCAGGTTCTTAGTCCACTGAGCTATCTTGCTGGCCTAATATACAACATATTAAGAAGATATTTTTACATATTTTTATTTCATAAGAGCTATACTCTCAGTGTGTACTTTTTAAAATGGATTATCTCATTTAACTTTTTAAAATTAAGTATAACAGACAAAATCATCTGAGGAATATGATCTTATGTTTTGAGGTATATTACACTGTCAGATGATTACTACAATCAAGCTAGTTAATGTATCCATCATCTTACATTTTTATAACAATTCTTAATTTCTTCTTTTTAGAAACATAATAGCACAAATGCATCTTGAAGTAAAAATATTTAAAAAATGTGCTCATCATTCACTCTTAAAGACTCTGGAACAGTTAAATGGACACCATTCTATACAATTTCTTGATGTCTCCATTAATGCATCTTTGAAAATAAAAAATAGACAATGCAACAGATACTGTTTTACAACCTAAACTCTACTTCTTTAATTGGGGCGATAAGTGTCTAGTTGTTAATCTGGCACTATGCTTCATACTAAACTATACATTACATGTCATTTTAGTCAATTAAAAAATTCTACAACCACAGAGAATTCTTAAATATCCTTTCCTTGTAAGCACTGCATAAATTTTTTTAAGAATTGACATGAAATAATTTTTAGTAATAGTTACTTGAACTAATGGCTGCTGTGTGTGAAACTAAACCTGGTTTTGTTAATAACATGAATTTCTTGTCATTTCAAACAGTTTTACCTTGTAAAAGCATCTAACATGTATTTTAATAAAAACAAATCTATGCTTTCAATGACCTACACACAGCTAACGTGATGGGTTTTCTTTCTATTACAGTGCTGATTAGTACAGAAAAATGCATCCTGAAGTCAGCGCTTTACCTGTTTGTCATTAATGGAGTATTTTTCAATTTCTTTCTTTGCTTGAAGTAGCTTCTCCTGAAAGCAATATAGAACAATTAGATTTGGAGACTGTCTTGTGCCTGTCTGCGCATGTGGTGAGGAGGAGAGAAAAAAAACAATTGTTTATATAAATATGTATTAAATTCTGTAAACATACAAAACAGGATCTATACCAAGTAGCGGTGGGTTGAAGTTCACGGAAGACGTAAAATAAAATACGCTAAGACTAATAAGCAAGTTTCTAAATTCATTGTAGAGAAAGATGAAAGAAAAAACAAGTGAACCTCACTCAAGCAATTCTAACAAATCTCTTGCTCTGTTATTTAGTAGTGACACAGCAAGTGATATAACAAGATTATTTATCGTGATACAACAAGAGCAATCAGAGCTATGCAGTACTTCACCAAGCACGTGTGATCCCACATCATACATGATTCTGTAAGACGTCCAGTATTTTCCTCCTCTAGTATAAAAGCAATTTTTTTTCCTCTTTTTCTTTCTTTTTTTTTTTTTTTTTCTTTTCTTACATGGATTGGGTAAACCTATTCCAGGCTGGAAAACCACAAAAATAATCATGAGATCTAGAGAGGAACAAAAGGGGAAGAAAATTCTTCCAAATGATATCAGAAATTGTCAAATATGAATGTCTATAGTAAAATAGCACTGTTCTATTAAAACATCTACATCTATATATATGGCATCATTTTGCCAAGACTGGGATGAAAGCTAAGGTTCTGAGTTTAATCCATGGCACAAGAAAGAAAGAAAGAAAGAAAGAAAGAAAGAAAGAAAGAAAGAAAGAAAGAAAGAAAGAAAGACAGACAGACAGACAAGACAGACAGATGGACGAAGTTGTTGGTGTCAGAAGGCTATTCTGTGCATACAGTTACTTTATGTATAGTGACATAAAACGCTCAGTGACTTCCTGACGCCTGTAATTCTGGCCACTCTTTTTTTTTTAAATTAACTTTATTAAGAAAGAAACAGCAATGAGACAGTTTCAAAACAGGTCAGTAGGACAGTTATCTGGCCACTCTTAACTAATTTTTCATGTATCTTCTATCAAATACTGTCATTGTTATAAACATACAAAATGCTATTTTACAAAATCTGTTTTTACTTATGGCTTTTAATGCCATAAAGTCACTACTAAAAAAGTCAAGATATACATAAAAGATAAGTAAACTAACTCTGCCCTTCCTGGTTTTTGAAAGAAATTTTGGATGTGCAAAACTAATTCTAGGTCCTTTACTTAAACACTTTCCCCCTGAGGCTCACCATGACCTGCCCTTCTCACTGGTAATTATTCACCTGACCACACCTGACCTAGGGAGTTATCTCCCAAGCCACAGGGTCATGCTGGCACTCCTCTCCATCATTCCTTTCTTCACTTCTTCTTTCAACAGAAGAAATGCCTGGAACACTACACACTCTATGCAACATCAGTGGACAACACCCATGGGCATTATCCCTGACCCTCATGTGGGGCAAGAGTACATTATCACTGTTCATGGGCACAGTGCCACTGCTTTGTGCTCTGAAATCAAGTTTGGCAAGAAGTACAGCTCCAGCCAAAAAAGAAATATTCTGCATGGACTTTACATAGAATAATGAGTTTTACTAAACATGCCAGGAAGGATAAAATTCTTCTGGGATACACAGATTTCATTACGCATGTATAAAATACCAGAAGCAATTTGCAAAGCATAACTGTAGGCACACACCTACACAGCTCCAGGTATCAATCAGAACAAGAAACACTTTTAGAAAGCAGCTTCAGAATCGCTGCTCCCAGCATGCTTGGCTTCCCATGCCCAGGTGTGTTATTTAGCTACCTCTCATCCTCTCCTATCTCAAGATCTGCAAGGTTGTTGACGGCACTGTCTGATAGATTAATAGCACTAAATACACATTTGGAACACAGAGGAGTCGTTGGCCTAAACATAAGAAAGAATTGGTAGTTCAAGGGCCAGGCAGATAGCACAGGGGAGGAAGTGCTTGCCTGGCAAGCACAAGGTCCTGAGTTCAATCCCTGGTACTACAAAAAAAAAAAAAAAAAAAAAAAAAATGGTAGTTTCAGTAATCACATCCCAAATGAGGGAAGGAAGCACTTTACAGTATAGGTAAAAACCAAGACATTTAGTCCAGCCTTTGTGATCAAAGTTCAGTAACTACCTCAGTAATAAGGAATCTAGAAGATTTACCTCATTCCGGGCAACCAGAGTAATAAACGCCCCTTGTTTATAGCACTCAATAGCAATGCACTTTCCAATGCCACTGGAACCTCCTGTAACCTACAAATAAAAATAAGAAAATCTTAGCACTTGCATTTTGGTCTGTGTAAGAAATTTACTTAAAATAATTACAATGGGACTGGGTATGTAGCTCACTGGTAGAGCATTTGTCTAGCAAGCATGAGGCCTTCAGTTCTACCTCCGGCACCCTATGTTTTTCAATAACTTTATTGAAAATCAATAATTACATATCATTAAAAATTGTAGACAAATACTGAAAAATGAAAGATACAAAATATAGACAAGGGGCCTGCCCCTTAGCTCAGTTCTGTAAGTGGCTGCTTCAACAAAGCAGTCAGGCTCAGGTTGCTGTGGTTGGATCCCCAGAACTAAAGCCAGCCAAATCTGCCCTGAAGGCATTCGGAGCAAAAAAAAAAAAAAAGATATAGACAGAGTGATTTTCAAAGTAATATTTCTGAAATGAATACACTGCATGAGATTAATAATAGATTGCACATTATAAATAAATTTACAAACTTAAATAGATATAATAAAAATTGTCCAAAATAAAAATGAAGAATTTACAGATCAGTCATATAATAGTTCGCTCTGTGTCAAAAATCAAGAAACTTATATTCATATAATTAGAATTCTTAAAGTAGAAAGAGGTAGGCAATAAATATTTATTTTTTCCCATAATTTTATTGAGAAACAAATAGCAATGAGACAGTTTCAAATCAAATTGGTAGGTCAGTTTCAATAATTAACACATTGCATACTGTATTCCTAGGGGTTATTTGTTGTACAAGATGTAGACATGATATCTTATTTACAAACACTATTAGACCAAATCCCTCTATTCATTGAATTGAGAGAATATAGCTGTATATCTATCCTAACCCTTTTGAATACACAGATACAAAATGGTCATTCATCTGTATCCCCTTTTTTTGTTTAGTTCTGTCATTTAAATATTATAGGTAATTATGGGCTCTAAAATTAAATAATTATGGGCTCTAAAAAACACATCTTTAAGAACTGCCTAATGACTGCAACTTCTCTGTAACAAACAATACTTGAAATAAGTGCACACAGGAAGGGATACACTGTCTTCAGGGCCTGGCTTCTTGACTATTTTCAGTACTGCACATAAATTGCCCCACTATAATAATTTTCTCATCTTAATAAAGGAACAGTGCTCTATAACTCTAGCTAATACATAATTAGTCCTCCTCTGATTCCAAAACCAAATGCATCTTAGTTCCTTACTGCATACCTATGCATGATTAGATCTACAACAGATTAAAATGGACACCTGAATATACAGTAGCTTATATTTTAAATGATTGCTTACCATAAAAATACTATATAGTCAGAACGAAAGTAGAAAAAAAGTAAAGCTTCTCACCTTGCACTGTGCTGTCACTCACACCTGCAAAATGCTCAGCCATACTGTCCATCTTTCGCTTCCACGCACTCTCTAGCCACAGGGGCTCAGCACATTCTGTTTCCCCTGGTGGCAATATTCTCTCGCCTCCCTTCAGCTAGCTGGTACCTGTTCTCCCTGCACATCTCACCTCCAACCTCACTGCCTCAGGAAAGTCTGTATTGCATCTCATGGCCCCAGCACGATCCCCTCTTTTTGCATTCCTTTCTCTTTACTTGACAGCATTCATGAAATTGAGCAATTCTACATTTATCTGTGTGATTACCTGATTTACAACCGTCCCTATCATTACCCTACAAACTCCAAACAACACCCATTCTGTTTCCGTTCCCCACTACATTCCTAGGACTTAGCACAAGAAGAACTCAGCACATAATAAGCAGAGTGGGGCATTATCTTTGTAATCATCTGTTCCTGTACAAACTACATGACATTGCAAGGTTCTGTATCCTGCTTTTAACAAGTCATGCTATAGTACTGAGGATATAGTTCCTAGTAGTGTTTGCCTAACATGTATGAGGCCTTGCAGGTTGACCCACAGCTGTGTGCATGTGCACGCATGCTCATGCACGCGCGCACACACACACACACACCATTACAATGTCTTATGTTACAAAATTAAAGTTTCACTATAATACCTTAAAGATCTGTATCAAAACTTAGCTATTTCTTCATAGTCAGACCTCTGGATTACTTCACATATAAATCATGCTATAAGGAACATCTCCCATCCCATGATTTTAATGTCACAGCAAGCCCCCCCTTTACAAAGGTTCATGCTGCCACGCTACTTACAGCCACTGCTCCTTTCTCACTAGCTTCACCTTGCCACCAATGGTAGATTTCTTTGGTGGATAATTCACCAATTCCCTATATAAGCTTACTATAAAAATATACCTTTTGCCTGGGCTAAGTTCTCTCTGAGGAGGTTTTTCCTATCAGGCTATTATATGTTTGTTTTTGGCTTATAAAAAGCTTCAGCAGTACACTTCATAGCAACAAGCAGGCCACTTCCAAATGTCCCTCTTTCCTGACAAGGGCCCTGCTCCTTAGCTGCCCCTCCACCCCACATCACCACACACTTGCCAACACTATGCACCTTGCCAAGGTCACTTCAGGTGTCCCCTCCACTGTGAAATGTGTCCAGATCCTGTTAAAATTTCTGCCCTTATCTGTCACCACCAGTCACAGGTATATCTTAGCTCCCTGGCCAAACAACTAGTTCTTTAGAGTGCAGATTGATCTCACTCACTCTTAACATAGTACCTTGCATAAGCAGTTGCTAAATACATATTTTCCTACCGTTTGCAAAATGGTATCCTACATTAGTTTGCAAAACGGTATCTAATAAAACTTCCCCAAAAACTCTGATGCCACAAAAACTTGTGAATAAAATTTTCTTATTATCCAGTGAATTGGTGAAAGTTATGAAGTAACTGAAAAAATTTATATGCTGTTAAGTGCTATGTATACATTAGTCATAGTTATCATTGATGTCTTTTTTTTTCTAGATTGACCATAGGACAGCTGTGTAAAGTTATAACAAAGTGAAAACAAGGTTTAAGCCTCATAATTTTTAAGAACTTTCTGTAATAAAAGACTGACACTTCTAGATCAGATTTCTCAAGAAACTACCTTCTAGTCAAGCCAGAAATGTTTAAAAGTTATGTAAGGATACACCTAGGGCAATTCTGGGCTAAATTATTCTGACTATTGTAGGAAACATCAAGGGTTTTCCACAATGGCTGAAAAAATGACATACGTATATTAAGCTGACAATTACTAAAACCCTGGTGGAAAACACTAAAGATAATAGTTTGATTTCCTTTATCATCCCCTTTTACTAGTCATTGAGAATATGGTTCAAATGTTACCACCCTTTCAATCACATCATACAGCTCTTATTAAGGGCAACAGGGGCTGGGGCAATAGCTCAGTGGAGTAAGTGCTTGCCTGGAAAGCACAAGGTCCTGAGTTCAATCCCTGATACCACCAAAATGTGAAAGGGCAACAGGAGCTGGCCTGTTTGTTGCCAAGAGAGTTGCTCCAAGCCACCCACAAAGGGAGGCCTGAAATGTGCTCCCCCTGTGTGAGATGTGCTACTTTGCTGCAGCTTCATGCTGCAGTGACACTGGGCACAAAAGCAGATACAAATTGAGGAGGAAACTCATCAGTAAACAGGTACACATTGCTCATGTTGCCACAAAGGCAGACAGCATAAAGGATTGGCTTCCTCTTCCCATGTCACCTGCTTTACACCTGACCAATCTCATTACACTTCTTTATGATTGTTCTTGTTTCTTTGGTTGGTTCCTTCTCTCTCTTTCTGTCCCCTCCCCTCCCCTTTCCACCTCTACCTCCTCCTCCTCCTGCCACACATAGTCTCACTGTGCAGATCAGTCTGGCCCCAAATTCACAGTGATCATCCCAGCTCTGCCTCTCAGTACTGGGATTACAGGTGTGCACCACTACACTTGGTCACTTTACTCTTCGTACATTAAAGAATGGTGACACTGGATGAATTATTCAGGTCATGCTCTCATTATACAATTGTATATACATTCGTCTGCAATATTAAAGTAGGATGCCAAAATAAGTAACGCTTGGTCTATTCGAACAAACAAGTCCTTTGTTATGTTACCTAGGCCTGGGGATAAAAGAACAACGGATTAATGTCAAAGTTAACCGAAATGCTTTTGTAATTACTGAGTCAAAATGTTCAATACTTATTTTCATTATTATTTTGCTTATACATGTTCCCCCAGGTTAGAGCAACTTCTAAAAGAAGTCAACTTTTAAAAGCATGCTTTTGAGGCAGAAGTTTTCTTGTGGATCGCTGTCTCATCTACACTGAACTTCTCACCTTCCACATCAGGGCACCAAGAGTTGGAAAAAAACTAATAGTTCTACAAAGCAGAAATTAAAGAAAATACAATTTCGCATCCAGAAACCCTTACTCAAATTTTAAAGTTCACTAAAACAGACGACCATCTCATCCTGTGAGAGTTCAGCAGGAAGGCAAGCGCCCCTCACCTAAGGTACCAACAAGAAGCCTCTCCGCAGCTTAGCGACCAGCCCTTCTTAACTCGCACCTCCGGGCTGGGCGAGCCTCTCGCTGGGGTCTAGTCGGGAACACGGCTGCGAATCCCACTGCCCACGGCCAAGTGCGGGGCGAGGGGAGGATGCGTTCTCCGCCGGTGGAGAAAGGAGCCCTGCTCGCCACAGGGAAGGCCGAACTGAGAACCAAACCACAAGCTGGAAAGTGCTCCGAGCCCAGAGCCCCGGCCGTTGTCGCCTACCTCACCCTGTGACTCTGGAACGCTAAGGAAGGACCACAGAGGAAAGGCCAGCAGCAGACCCCTCGGAGACGTGCAGGCGCCAGGCGGCCGATTCCCGCAGGTGAGCCACTTCCTGGAGTCCCCGGCAGGCAGCCGCTCCGTCCCGCACAGGCCGCCCTCCAGCCCCGCCGCCCCGCCGCGCCCCCTCCGACCGCTCCCGCCGGTCCATGCGCCCTGCCCGCCGCGCTCCTGGCCAAGTACCTCGGCCTCTCCTGACCCATCTGGACGACGGAGGTCTAAAACACCCATTTCCCCGGGATGCTCCCGGGTCCCTGCAGCCTCGGGACCCGCAGGCTGGCGCGGTCGGGCGGACGGCGCGGAGGCCCGCGGGTGGCGGGCGGCAGGTGAGCCCTCCCTGCGGCCTGGGGCGCGCGGCGAGAGGGCCGGGGTCGGGCAGCCACCGGGGGCCACTCACCACGACGTGCGCCCCGGGCAGGGCGAGGGGCTTGGGGCTGATGAGCGGGGACACCATGTAGAGCAGCAGCACGAAGGCCACAAGGAAGGCGGCGGCCAGCAGCAGCATCGCGCGGCCGGCCCGAGCGTCATGCGCGGCCCGGGAGCAGGAGCCAAGAGTGTTTGGGTTTGCTGCGAGGGCGGGACGGCGGCGG